TAGTCTAGATGAAGAATCTCTTCCAGCTGTATTGTTCAAAAGAGCTAAACGTTTAGCTTCATCTTTCAAAATTCAGCTTCTTCTGCCATACAGTACCAGAGAGAGAAAGAACAAAAGAAAGGACGAACAAAAGAAAGAAAGAACGAAAAAAGTATGAATGTAACAATGAAAGAACAAAAGAAAAAGAATGAGCAAAGCAAAAAGCAAACAAATGAAAGAAAGAATTAACCCCTTAGCTATCACGTCCCACAGGTGCGCTTGCCATTATATTTTTAAAACAATTTATACTTAAGTAATATTGACAAACTATATATCACTTGAAAGCTTACTGATTTTCAAAATAAATTACACAGGAGCCATAATTTATCAATTTGCAACAAGAATATTTTCATACTCATAAAGCGTGTTCAGACCTTTATTTTGAAATAGCGATGAACATAAAAAAAATCATGAAAAAAAGGTTGAAACCTCAGTTTGTTTTCATGCCAAGAGTTCAAAAGATTGCATCCATTCAATTATTTTAGAAAAAAAGGTCTGAAAATGTTTTAAATATTAAGAAAAAAATAATAAATTCACCATTTGTTATGGGGCAGGAAGCTATAACACACATGCATGATCTTTGTATGTGTTTCTCAGAGGTTGAATTCATATCAAATCTGCCTAAATTCCCATACTACTTCTGAATAGGATATCTACTTCATAAATTGTATGAAAATTGTGTAAATGATGGTTCAAATCACTCAAAACAGATATGGAAACGGAGGCGCCCTTATAAGGCCAGTAATGGAGTCTGGTTGTGCCCTAGTGAAAAAGTTTGGTACTGCGCCCAAACAAAATCTCACAGAAAGCTCATTTTTTGAGATATCAACCTATGCTTTGATTTTTCTGCAGTTTTAGAGTAGCCCAGGTTTTGAAAATATTTATATTATATAAAATATCAATATTTTTTTTTTACATTGTACATTTCGATAAACTCAAACTTCTATAGACCATTTTGCAAGATGTAAACAAAACTGGTCCAGAAGCACTTCCTGTTTCAGTTTTTTAACACTACATAAAAGCTGGGATAAAATACAAACAACAGAACATATAAAACTGAATCAAAAAGTTAAACGAACATCTTTAAGATTTTTTCTTTACATGTGAAATAAAGAAAATAGTTACAAACTGAAACAGGAAGTGTTTCTGGACCAGAGTTGTTTACATCTTGCAAAATGGTCTATAACTTTTATTCTGTTTCACTTTCTTAATTTATTTCACTGCGACAAAATTCTGGCAAATGCCTTCTTTAATATTCTATATTCCAGAAACTATATTGGAATATAGTCTATATTCCAAAGCATTCTTGAATTACAACCATTTAAGTTCGAAATGTGCATTTCCATGTGGGGGGTGACAGTTAAGAGGTTAAAAAGAAAAAAAGAATGAAAAAAAAGAATGTACAAAACAAAATAATTAACAAAAAGAACAAATGAAAGAACAAACAATTTAAAGAAATAAACAAACCAAACGAACGAAATAACTAATGAAAGAACAAACAAAAATAAAATCTAAGAAAGTAAAAAGTTTTTTTAAGCAATTCGAAGAAAGAAACAAAATGTAAGAACGAACAAATTAATGAAACAAATCAAAGAACGAGAATGAATGAACAAGAAATCAAGAATTCAAAATAAACGACGGCAGAACAAACAAAAGGAAAGAGCGAGTGAAAAAACTAATGAACAAAGAAAAGAAAGAGAACAAAAGAGAGACATGTAGTAGTCTATAACAGCATATGGGCCTGTAGGTGATTGGGCTCAAAAGAAAGTATTAGAGAGAAACTGGACAAAGGAGTGATGGATAGACTGTCCTCAGGGTGTTGACGACAACAAAATGATCATATTCACTTGAAAAGACAGAAATAGAGTCAGGCAGCACATACAGGACATCACAAGATGATCTCCCCCACCCCACACACACACACACACACACACTCCCCGAGGTGAGGTCACTGGAAACACGGGGCCATTCCATAATGACACTTAACTTCTCAAAGCCTTTACGTACAAAACATGAGCTCTCTAATGTGCGTGTGCATGCCAATATATATAAATACAATTATTTTTTTTTTCCTTTTCCTTTTAAAGGAGAGCTTAAGGGCATTGTGGGAAAGGACAGAGAGGATAGGATGGAGGAAGGAAGGGCTTTGACTGCTGGCACAGATCTGGACAAACATCCATGCACACTCGCAAGTGGAAACGCAAGCGGCGTGTGAAAGGAAAGCAACTCTCATCTCCAAGAAAAAAAGCCACCGCTCAGAAGATGCTAAGGAAAGATATAATGGGAGTTGAAGGCCAAAAAAGGAGACTGACATTTTTCCCTTCAGGATCTCACACTTTTGACAATGCTTGACAAATGTACATTATCTCACAGGGCACTTGTTGTTACATAACAATAGTGTGCACTTGGAAAGCAAAAGCTTTACGAACAATCCCTCAGACTGACCCTGTGAGGTCCAAAGAGTGTACAGGAGATTAAAGAGGAAACGTTTCATGCAACGGTAAGCTGATAAGCTTTGAGTCATTAGTTCTGTACTAAAACTCGGCAAGTTGGCTGTTACCTTCTAAGTCGGCATCCTAGTTGAATTGTAACCTCATTAGTGACTGATTTAAAAATAGTGCTCCTCAATTAGCACATACTAAAGCCTAAAACAAACAATTCTAGCAACACAAGATAGACTTGTAGCATTTGTAGCATTACAGAACATCTTAGCAAGGCCGTAATCGTGTCTTGAACATTGGGGAGGGGGACGGAAAAAAATGTGCATTCGAATTAGTTGCAAATAATTATTTTATTTCCAAACAAGCACATTTACTCCTAATCTTATGCCTAAAATATCTCTGATAAAGTTAATTACCTCTCAAGTTAAATTACAAATTACGTCACGTAATTGATACAGGCGATTTACAATTCAAAACACTGACATTTTTGGCGATATCCAATTATTGTGGGATTGCCCCCATATGGTGGTTAAGGGCCTGCATCTGTCAGACCGCAATTCATAACACTACATACATTACTGCATTCACAGTGTTGTCTCAGGGGAGGGGGTTTGAGGTTTCAGTCATGGCTTGTTTAACACTTGGCTAAAGGCCAAGAATACTTCGATTTTTTACATACACTAGAGCGTGCGTCCAGTGTGTGCAACGTACATTTTATCATCAGCATAGCACTTGCATAATGCACACTAGCAGCCTTATTTTTCTAAACGTGAAGGTGTCTTGACTCTTTTTGCACTAATTAGTTGGTCCACAGAGTGGCAACACTGACCCATGCTGTTCTTTCACAGACTAAAAAAGAAACGGAAGAGACGGAACAACAATAAACCGCTGGAGACTGCAACAACAATAGACGGCCATGTTGACGAATACTTCTGTGCGAGGGGGTTCAGAGATACCTGCGACTCTAGTTTGATCTATAGCACAAAGACATTATCAAGCACAACTTATTTAGAGCACAAAGATTATTAAGATTAAACCACGTTTCTATTACCCTTCAAATAGCGAAAAATGTAATTGTGAATTGAAATTAAAGGACAACTCCGGCACAAAATGAACCTTTGGTCTAATTACATATTGCTACCTAGTCAACCGTTATCTGAGATTTGTTTTCATGATTGCCGAATGTAAATAGGTTTATCTCTAAAAACAGTTTAGCCTACAACGCTAGTATAATGTTAGTATATAGGACATAGAGTAATGACAAGTAAAAATCGCTTGTTATTACCACTAACAAGGCTCAAAATAGCCCCACAGTAACACGGTAGCATAATAAGGGTCCCTACATTCAAACCGAAGCATTGAGAACTTTGTCAGTGTCCATACAGTTTAATAAGAAGATATTTTATACACACAGTCAACTTCGCGAATACAGGAAGAAGCCATCTTTGAAAAACAGTCTCTACCAGTCGATCTACGAACACCGATCCAAGTGCGCTGAACTGTGCAGAATCTCATATGGTCCATTGTTTCCGGAAGAAACGCAAACACGAACCGTTTTCTTCTCATCAATATGTACATGTAGACTACTGTTCGCGCTCACCTTATCACCTTATTCACATCTCACCACCGCACTTGGATCAGCGTTCGTAGATCGTAGAAGAAAACGGTTCGTGTTTGCGTAATAACAAGCGATTGTTTTTTTATTGTTATTTTTGTACAACAATACAAAAAGGGTTGAAAATTAGTTGATGGACTTTAAGTGTTTGTGTAACTCACTCAGAGGCTGACGTTAGCACAGCTCTGAGTGGAAAAAATACAAAGAGCTCAGAAATACTGAGAGAAATATATATATATATTTTATATTTTATAAATATAGAATATAAATATAATATATAATATATATATATATATATAATTTATTTTATTTTATTTTTTTATTTATAAAAAATATATATATAATATATTCATATATATATATATATATATATATACACTTTATATATATATATATATATATATATATTTATTTATAAAATGGAAGTTGTGGTAGTCTTTTCTTCCCTATTGTGATGTATATCCGAGTAGAATGGCTTCTCAAATCGGGAACTGTTTATCCCTCATCTTCATGACTAGAGGAAACAAAATATTGGTACCAGAACTTTGCTACCAATTATAAGAGTACAGTCTTTGCTTATGTGCCTCTGATGCCTAAAATACTGCATACACAGGCAGCTCATTAAATTCTGAAACAACCAATGTGGCATTTCTATAATGCAAGGTTGGGCAGAACTAGTTTTCCAGGAAATACAACAAAACCTGCTGAGACCTAATTAACCTCAATTCATATGAGTTTCTCTTAACCTCACTGAACCCCCATCAGTTTGTTTTTTTTTGTACCAGGAAGTAAGGTTCAAGTCTCATACAGGTACCTGCAATAAATCACTCATGTAACATCTCATGTGTGTCAGACAGATAATAGCCACGAGGCAAAGAGCCGCAGTGTCTGTTTTCAACTCTTACATGTGATTCTGATGGCTGTGGCAGAGATCCAGGACTCAGCAGAGGAGATCCCGAGGGGCTGCAGAGCTCAGGGAAAGGGTTTGGAATAGCTGGCAAAGACGCAGGACGAACTTGCAACTCTTCTTCTTGAAGTCGCCTACGAGGTGTGACAGAGAAAAAAAGGGAAAAAAAGTTGTACTTTTGTAGTGAACTTATCTTTAAAACTATCTGAAATATACATACCGTTCCTGAGGCTAAAATGCCCAGGACTAAAACATCTAACCGAACCTTGTTTTTCATCTCATTAAGGTCTCATTGCTTCATTAACCATGCCTTACTCACGATATCATCTGTATTTTAATCAATATGAAACCGAGCAGGGAATTAAAGCCCTGAAGTTCCCTGAAAACTTCAATGCTGTAAAGTGATAGGCTTATGAAAAATAAATCAGAAGAATCCACATGACATTCTCACCACCGCATTACAGATTCTACTACAGAATATATGAATGAAAGCGAGGGATTTGAAACCCACTTAGCCAACCGAGAATCGGTTCATGAACTCTCATAGTGTGCGGCAGAGTTCAGCAGACAGACACATAGACTGCAGATTTTAAAACTCATCTTCGGGTCTTTGATCTACATCAATAAGAGCCGGGAATAATACATGACTGCCGATCGGCACAGTTTGAGCGACCATAATAACTGAGGGAATTTTTAAAATCCAAACCGTAGCAGGGGGTGGGCCGTTCAGGGTTCATGGCCGAGTCAGTGCGAAAAGAAGACCGTGTGTCTGTGTGAGTGTGTGGAGACGGAAACCTCTGAGTGAACCCATCTCCATGTGTGTATGTGTGTGAAACTACACCCCGCTGCCACGGAGATCAGAGAAGAGCGGATGAAAGACAGCGAACGACACAGAATGCCTGCAGAAAGGTGAGGTGTGAAAGAGCTGATTAGAAGATGCGCTCGGAGAGGATTTCGGAAATAGAAAAGATTATGACTTTGAGAAGATGACTTGAAAACTTACGGCTTATCGGAGGGTAATGCTAATTACCCCAATGATTCATATGTCAAAAACATAATAAATCCAGACACATACATAATATATCTAAATATTTTATATATAATAAAATAAATATTTTATTTTATCATTTGACAGCCCTAATATATATATATATATATATATATATATATATATATATATATATATTAGGGCTGTCAAACGATTAATCGCATCCCAAATAAAAGTTTGTGTTTACATAATATATGTGGGTGCACGGTGTATAATTATTTTATAAATATTTAAGAAATATTTTCATGTATATACTGTATATAGATTTATATAATTTATCATTTATAATATATAAATATATATAATTTATATTATATATAAATATAAATATGTTATATATAAATAATATTTTTTTCTTAAATATACATTTATTTGTGTTTATGTATATATATACAAAATAATAATACATAGTGCACCCACATATATTTTGCAATATATAAACACAAACTTTTATTTTGGATGCGATATATATATATATATATATATATATATATATATATATAGATATATATATACACACACACACACACAAATAATTTAGAATAAAACAAATAATTTCAATAAAAAAATATATTTCATAAAAACTACACAGACAAAAATCAAGTTTAAAATGATGAAATATAATGAAGTATAATGAAGTATAATGAAGTACAATTACACTAGCGTTCAAGAGTTTTGGGTCAGTAATATTTAATATAATATAATACATTCATACTTTTTTTCAGCAAGGTTTCTTTCTATTGCTTTAAATAGATCACAAATGGCAGTAAAGCTTATTACATTAACAAAAAAAATGTCATTTCAAATAAATGCTGTTCTTTTGAACTATCTATTTATCAGAGAATCCTGTTTAGCAGCACAATTGTTTTCAACACTGATCACCAAATCAGTATATAGGCCTTTCTCACAATAACAGGAAATACGTAATGTTGTGGAACCAGAGTTCCTGTCAACCGTCAACACATCAGAAAAACATACCCAGGGAACAGAAAATTGATCAGAGAGTCTTCACAACTTCGAAAAGATGTAAACTTGTCATGGTCCAGTTGTTGATGACTTTGTAATGTGTGGTGATGCTTGTCTGCGACTGAATGTATCTAAGAACAAAGATATGACTATTGTTTTCAGAACTGAAGCTCATTCTTTCCAATATACGTGAGAAGCAGTGGCGGCTGGTGAAAATTATTGTAGGGGGGGCTGAATAAGAGGGGGGTCTGGGGGTTCCCCCCCAGAAAATTTTGAATTTAGTAGATGTGATTTCCTGCATTCTGGTGCATTTTAGGCCTTAGGCCATGCCCTTACCTATACCAATAAAATAACTTAAACCAGTCAATACCAATGGTCAAATAATACAATAATAATAACTTGTTTGACAGTTAATGATAATGAACAAGTTGCATGTTTATTATGCTCTGTGTGCTGACAGAAAAAGTGCAAACGCATAATATTGATAAATTATAATATAGGTAATACAAAAAATAATAGGTAATACAACAATCTAGTTTAATCAATCCCCAGCTGTAGACTACATATTTTTGACAAATTGACAATTGGATAATGGATAACAATGTGTTGATACCAGAGAAAGAGAGAGAGAAAAGGCTCTGAAAGAGAGGGTGGGACAACGTTCTTGATTGTAACACCCAAGTATGAGAAGAAAGTTGATTTTAACTAGTATGAAACACAGTAATCTAGCTCAGAACTTAAAAACATCAAAAACAAAGCAAACACACAGGTATTAATATTCCTATAACTATTTTAATATCAAATGTGTGTGAAACAGTGTTTATGTGTGTGTGAGTGAGTGAGTGACAGAGACAGACAGATCAATTCCCACGACTAACTTTACATTATTTCCACTCGACGTCACTGGCGCTGCCATTCTGCTCTCATCTGAGGTAAAAAAATGTCCCGTGGTGCGCGTGCACGGTGCACTCCCCTAATCTGATACTGTGGGCGATATTTTCAGCGCCCCCAAACCATAAAATTTGACGGCGCTGATTGGCGAAATATAAACTTTTTTGCATAGCAACCGGGGAACCATTGGCTTAAATTCCAGCACTGTGGGGCTGAGCGAACTGGCGCCCTGAGAAGACAGCCTATTGGCTATACTACTACACCAACATGATAAAAGTAACGAAAGTGAATGCAAATATCATTCTGGTGAGTTCAAAACACTTTTCAAAGTGAAACCATTATTAGCATATAATTAACACAGATTATTTTTCAAAATTATAAATTATAATATATATTAAAAAAACAGACAGACAGGTCGGAGGGAGGGCGGCGCCCCAGCGCCCTCTATGGGCGAGCCGCCCCTGGTGAGAAGGTGGAGTGTGTGGATTCGTGGAAAGTCATAAATATTTAGGGACTATTATTTACAATAAACTGCGTTTTGATGTGAATACAAAATAGAAGTCTGTCAGTTTTATTCAACAGTTATGCACTTAGGTAGTGAACTTTTTTGCACTGCTCTTGCTATCAAACTATCAAAGATGAAGAACAATTTACACAAATATGAATTAATCCCTTGTACAATCAGGTTTTTAAATACTCAGAATGGCATATATTAATATTTTAAATGTATATTTAGCCTACTGTTGAGTGTTCTTATTTTTCTTGTGTGGTGTATAATTTTATGTGTTAATTACACTGCATACAAATTGCCCGGGATCTTAATAAAGTTGAACATGAACTGACGTGTTAGTGAATTTATATTTTTGGACAAAAAAAAGCAACATTCAAAACTCTCAGGAGAAAAGAGAATATAGCCTGCATGCGTATCCAAATGATGTTATAAATATACAAAAAAGTATTAACCAAGCAGAAAACAAACAAAGCGGGGTGGGGGGGGGGGGGTAGGACTACTTTATAATACATAAATAATAAACATAAACAATGGCGGGTTTGTGAATGGTGACATGAGAAATAGAAAAGATCACAGGATCAAGAACATCCCGAGTCCATTTCCGTCGAGGGAAGGAATGAAAACGACAGATATGGCTGATTTTGGGAATAACAAAAAAGACCGGTACGCAACAACTCCTCTATGAACAACTCTTACTAGTTGCTTGCGCTATTTGTTCTGACCGGAGCGGAAGATTACCACGACAATTGCTTATTTCCGGTCACAAACACAGAAGTTGTGACTGTGAGAAAGGTCCATTAGATTGATTTCTAGGATCATGGAATGAACACTGAAGACTGAAGTAATGGCTGCTGAAAATTTGCTTTGCAATCACAGGAATAAATTGAATTTGAATTGTGATAATGTATTTTGTAATTATTTAATATTACCGTACTGTTTTGAAAATAAGTGTAAAAAAATGACTTTCAATTTCAAATTTTGTATGATTTTCCAGAACTGGAAATCAAAACTTCCCATTTCTTAATGTGCACTGTGCATTTACATTACCTGACAGCCTGTATGTGCATTGGCTGAGATCGCCGGAGCTTTTGGGCTGGAGAGTGGGGGGCGGTCACTTTATTACATGGAGCCCGTAGCTGTGGGGCCGATCTGGTGCCATGGAGCCCACTGCCATCGGTGCGGTGCAAAAGGGGGGCGGAGTCCGAATGCTGGGTCCCACAGGTTGTATAGATGCTCTCATAGGATGAAAGAGAGGCCATGTCATTCACCAGGGCCTCCAGATCTACATCATCCTCTGCAGCAAAACAAAACATGCATAGAGAGAGAGAGAGATTGAGTCTTATGTCATTCACAAGCAACAAAAGTGTACCAGCAGCAGCCCCGATACTAAGAGAAGCCAAACAAACACATACAATTCACATAGGACACTGTAATTAATAACTGATTATTATGCAAATGACTTAAGAGACTGTGTAATATTTGTGCCGTTTTGTAATTTTCATGCGGCAGAAGCAATTTGTTAAAAATAGGCAAAAAAGGTATTTAAAAATGATAACAAAAATAATACTTTATTCACCAAGTGTATATTTAATTAAGTGACATGACAAAAAAAAAACATTAATAATGTTACAAAACATTTTTTATTTCCAATAACTGCTGTTTTAAACAAAAAGAAAAATATATCAAAGCAGCACTGAAAATAATAAGAAATGTTTCTTGAGCACCAAAATCATATTAGAATGATTTCTGAAGGATCATGTAACAGTGAAAACTGGAAATTCAGCTCTGCCATGACAGGAATAAATTACACTTTAAAATATATTACAATAGAAAGAGTCATTTTAAATAGTAATATTGCACAATACTATTTTCTATTTTCAAAAACACCCACACACAAAAAAAACACCTTACAATCCCCAGTGTGTATGTGTGTGCATTTGCGTGACTGAATTTAAAAAAAAAGGTTCATGCATGCATTACTACATAAATATTAGTTTTGATACAGCACAACTTTATTTAACTATCAATTCGACCGTGGTGAGTTCTGAAGCAACAAGGCATTCTCACACTGGCTCCACCATGTTTGACTGTTGGTAAGATGCTCTTAGATTCTGGAATGCCATTTTCACTTCGTGCCAGACATAATAGATCACGTGTCATCCAAAATGTTCCATTTTTGACTTGTAGAACATTCTTCCAAAAGTCTTGGGGATCAGCCAGGTACTCTTTTTGGCAGATGAGAGATGAGAGTTTATGTTCTTGGTTAGCAGTGGTTTCCACATTTCTCCTCTCTCAGCCCACATTTCTTTGGAAGAGTTTTTTTTAAGATCCTCTGTGGCTTCCTGAATGATTTTAGGCTGATCCTTGGACACACTTTGACAGATTGGCCACAGAACATTCACTACCATGTCCACTTGTTCTCTATATGCATTATGGTTCAGTGGTGGTGTCCCAGAATTTCAGAAATGTCCTCAGCAAAAGGTGATATAAAAACTGTTAGTCCCTTGTGTTTCAAGTTATTATTGTTTACTCAAATACGTTTGGATCTTAAGATGCTGTGGCATAGTGGTTAAATATCTGGGACAGTAATCAGAAGATTTTAATAGTTTAATTTGAACAGTATTAGCATTAATCATGAAAACAATGCAGTTTATCGTACAACTAGCAATAAATTGCCACAAGATGGCAGTATCAAGTTAAATGAGTAAACGCTCAAATGGTCAGCCCTTTGGTCACATTTCTCTGTGTTCCCTGACCTGATCATATCCCTCAAGTCACACTCAGATTCATCGAAATGGTGTTCTCTCAACACTACACACTGACACTTCCAAAACCAAATATTCAACTAATCGTTCTCACACAGAAAACAGGTCGCCATAAATATATTCTGTGCTGTGGGAGGAACAGCAGGTGGTTTGTGGAATTACTTCGTAATAACGAACGCATGTGAAGCTACATGCCTGTTAAATGAAGCAAGAAAGATGGGTTCAATAGTTGGCATGTGTTGACTGGAATGCTTTACCTATTGATTCTCAACTGAGGGTCACCACTTGAGGTCCCAAGAAAAACCACAGTACTGCATTTTATAATTAGTATTTAGCATTGCTTTTCATCTGCCCATCCGCAACCTTATCAAAACAGCCCTGAGACACATTTTTTGGGTCATGCCCTGTCAGTTGAGAAGCACTCTGTGCAATGAAGACCCATAAAAACCAAGCTTTTAAGGCCCTAGACTAGAGTGATTTCTTGCAACAACTGGTGCGTTTAAAAGGTTAGCAAATCATGCTAAAATGTAATGCTAACGCGATACCAGCCACCAAAGTGCTTTTCCCTCATCAGGTCAAACAGTTATCATTAATGAAATGTGATATCTGTATTGATCCAGGCTAGTAAAGAAGGCAGTGAGATGACCATGCTATCAGGAGACTATTTGTAGACCATCCAAAAAGGACATTTAGCTAAAAGCTAGCTAGCTTTATAACAGGAGAACATTTTCATATATTGACAAAGTTAAAAAAAAAAAAACTTTTGCTGATAATTTACTCAACCCCATATCATCCGAGATGTCCATGTCTTTCTTTCTTCAGTCAAAAAGAAATTAAGGTTTTTGATGAAAACATTCCAGGATTTTTCTCCATATAATGGACTTCAATGGGAACCAAACGATTCAAGGTCCAAAAGACGGTTTCAGTACAAACTGCAAACTGTTCAGGGCTTTACATGACACCAGACGATGAATAAGGGTCTTATCTAGCGAAACGATCACTCATTTAAAAAATATATAAAGTTTAAGTTTTATAAGCTCGAGTCAAATGCTTGCCTTGCTCTGTTTTGTGATGAGCGTTCGTAACTCTCCTGTTCGAACTCGTTCATCAAAATGAACAAATCTTTTTGAGTCATTTGGTTCATTCAACGAACGAAATGAACGAATTGACTCGAAAAAAAGATTTGTTCATTTTGATGAACGAGTTTGAACAGGAGAGTCACACAGAACAGAGCAAGGTGAGCATTTGAGCTTATAAAACATTGTTATTTATGTTTTAAATAACTGATCGTTTCGCTTGATAAGACCCTTATTCATCGCCTGGAATCGTTTAAAGCCTTTTAAACAGTTTGCAGTTTGCACTGAAACTGTCTTTTGGACCTTGAACCGTTTGGTACCCAGTAAAGTCCATTATAGGGAGAAAAATAATTTAATTTCTTAATTTCTCAATTTCATTGGGGTGAGTAAATTATCCGCAAAAGTTTTTTTTTAAAAGTGAACTACTCCTTTAAGGCTCTTTCACACCAAGGATGATAACTATAAAGTTTTAATTCCATTCTATGAGAATAGAAAACATCCACATTATGCAGGAACAATATTATCAGAATCACTTTCAAAAAGATTTTTTTCCAACAGTTGAAGGATAAAAACATTAACAGCCAATCAGTATCCACCCAAGAGCTTGAGCATTTAAAACAGCAGACGACATGACTGCAGCATGTGCTTGTAATAAACAGAACTTTATTGTGCGTTTGTGAGGATGCTATGTAGTAATCGTTTTAAGTGAACAGGCCTTCAATCTTTCTTTAACTGCAACCAAATATTAGTTTAGCTGGCTAGTAGTAGTAGTAGATAGTAAAGTTGCAATGAAATTATTTTAACATGTATACAATGTAACAAATTAGGATTATAGACATGGTTTTATACATCTGTTGTTATTTGGATTTTGATAGGTATTGCAATTTTGGAGGGGTGGGGTTTAAAGGCCCTGACACACCAAGCTGATGATCGGCCGTCGGACAACGTCGGGCCGTCGTTGAGTGTCGACTGGCCCAGTTTTCGCAGTGTGTTTTGCACTGTCAGAACTAGTTGGAGCCTGTCAGGGTTATTTTGGCCGATTGAGCACGTTGAATCGGCGTCCGTCAGCACTGTCGGTGAGATAGAGAACTTAGCGAATGAGTCCGCGCACAAGAATAAAAGCGAAAGTCAAGAAAGTGACAAGTGGATCAGACAAAAAGCTGTTCTAAATATCATCTTACATGAGCATTCTAATATGAGAATGTTTCATAACAACATGAGAACCCCTGGAATGAAGAATATTCAAAGATATTCAAAATGGTAAGCAAGCGCTACTTCGATTAGGGTTTGAACATCTGCAGTCCTAGTTTCGGTTTTTGAATGACAAATATGTCCAATTAATACCTGCTGATGTAGACAGTTATTTCCTTACACAGAATGCACATGCTAGTTCTTTTGTAGTCCGTCGCCGCAAGTTATTTTATGTCGGTTTGGTGTCTCACGGCCTTACGTGGGCTACAAAATGGGAGTCCTGCATAAGTCACTTTTATGTTTTTGAATTACGAATGAATTTTAATTTGTTTTTTTTTAAATTAACCCTAACACATGGATAAATTGTTTAAAACAATAAGATTAAAATCTATTACATGCATGTGGAAAATTCTCATTCCATGCCGACTTTAACTAAGCTAGGTAGCTAATATGTACCAGGCTAAATCAGGTCTAAATCAAAGCTTCAGACTTCCACTAGAAAACCAGCAGCGTCCGAACGGTGCATTCCGTACATACCCCAGACCCACACACTTCCGCATGTGTCCGAGCGCAAGTGTTTGTGTATGTAACAAGAGAGCTCGGCAAGTATCCTACGCGCAAGAGATGTCTTTTTAAAAAGAACACACAAACAAGAACATACGATGAATAGGACTGTTAAAACTATGAAGTACATCCAGTACAAGTGAGTGTCAAAGAGCATTCCCATTTTTTTTCACAGCACTAAGCGGTCCAAATATGCCATTCCAAACACTCCCTTCCTGTCTTCTCTCATTCACTTCACATTTCTTTAAACTACATGGTTTAGCTCCCCAGTACTTGAGCGAGCTCTTAACGCATTATAGTTCTTCATGTCTATTGCAATCTCAAAACTTGTGCCAGTTGATAATACCTAGAATATCAAAATCGACTGCTGATCCTTTTCCTATTTAGCACCAACACTTTGGAACACTTTGGTCTTACTAACATTGTCCGAGAAGCAAACACACTCTGTCAGTTTAAATCTATACTCATCACATCTCTTTGACCTAGCATACACAACACATTATAAACTTCTATAATTCAGTGTTCGGTTGCATAGTTTAGATCAGTCGGAACCGAGAACACTCCCCATAAATCCTGATGTGCTCGTTACATCATAAGAAGAATGATGTATTAGTCTCTCTGTTTATCCCGAGGTTTACAGCAGTCCGCAGGATCCAAGCCGTATCAAGATCTGATGAAGGACCTGCACCTGGACACGAGTCACAACGATAACGCAGTCCTGAAGTGTCAAATAGACTCTCCCCTGTGAAAGCCTACTTCTCTTCTCTTTACCTCTACACAGATAAAACGTTGTCAAAATGATTCCAGTTCACATGGATACGTGGAAGCGACAAAAAAATTCACTATTATGAATTTTTTTAGGCCAGGCAAGTAATTTTGTGAGGTCAATTTGTAAAGAAAGACTACAGACCTGCGCACATATATATTTAAAGGGATACTCCACTTTTTGGGGGGAAATACGCTCATTTTACAACTCCCCAGAGTTAAACTGTTGAGTTTAATCCATTCAGCCGATCTCCGGTTTTGGCGGTACCACTTTTAGCATAGCTTAGCATACATCATTGAAGTGCACAAGACCATTAGCATTTCTCCCAAAAAAATTACTAAAGTGTTTCGATATTTTTCCTATTTAAAACTTGACCCTTCTATAGTTACATCGTGCACTGGGAGAAATGCTAATGGTCTTGTGCACTTCAATGATGTATGCTAAGCTAAGCTAAAAGTGGTACCGCCAAAACCGGAGATCGACTGAATAGATTCAAAAAAGGTAAAACTCGACAGTTTAACTCTGGGGGAGTTGTAAAATGAGCGTATTTTCAAAAAAAGTGGAGTATCCCTTTAAACTCGCATTATTATTGACTAAACACATTATACACATGTGTCACCATTTTCACAGATTCGCGTTTTTTAAATTTACACGGAGATAACATAACGCTTGCATCTAAGAACCTGTTTCAAGGTTTGGGTTTCTGGACATGTTTTCATGTTGATGCCAAACATTTTAGAACTAGTACCATATTTTTGTACATAGTATTGAGGAGTGCGTCTAATTCAGTGGCTAAGTCTGACAAACGTTACAAAATCAGTCAGGTTTATGTTGGTATTGACCTATGGCTAAGCCACACCCTCAAACGCAATGAACCAATCACAGTGCGCAGCTAACCTAACACACTGGGACATTCTCTGCTTCCACGTCCATTGGAATGCATTGCAGTTAGTCAGTTTTCATTCGTTTTTTCTTCTCATTTTAGGTTTAAAATGGTCAAACAGTGTGGATGGGGTACATGCAACTCTGACACTAGGTTCCCGAGAGGCTGGGCGACGGTGTGTATCTTTTTACCCTTTCCCAAGACACATCTCAACCGAGATGAGCGTCTGCTCTGGATTAAGTTATGCGATTAAGTTATGCGGTAGACCACCAACTAAACGTGGATAAATTAAACAAGGATGTCAACCCCGTTTCAAAGTTAAGTCAACAAAGTATTTGAACGGTATCTTTAAAATCTCTAACATAACATTAGTCTAACGTTAAACTACCATTAGAAAACGTTAACGTTAGCTTCTAGCTGCGTTGTACATCATGTCACTTACACTAGCTTCCTAAACGTATCTGTATATAGCCAAGATAACAAATGTTAACAATGTTGTGCTGAATGATTAATAAATAGCACCAAACGGTGATGGCAATGATATGCGGTTTATCACGTTTACACTGTGGCCTGTACATTTTTGCCTGGAGCTAAAGCTTTTCATCGACCTTCTCAACAATAAAATTATTAATATAACCCTCCAATGCATAGTTAAGGCCCTTTAGGAGACTTTGAGATGATATATAATCTTTCTGCCTCCAAAAATCACCAATTGCCTCCTGTGAAATATCTCCTACTGTGAAAGCTGCCATAGCCCCTGTCCCCGAATATTAACTGTTTGTCCGAGTGAGTGGAGGGGGCGTGGCTTAGCCATAGGTCAATTGTATGAGGGACGCAACACCTTCACGATGAACTTCAGACCTGGCCAAACAACCAACAATACAGTTCAAACAAATGTCAAATATTCCTCAGAAATCTATATGGAAGATTCCCAAAAAGCAGTGAATTTATAAAAAGGATACAGAGATCTCTTCAGAGCGTAATACAGACACACTGTCTCTTTCCTGTTTTTCTTTCAGCACTCTTTCCTCATTGTGGAACTCCGTGTCAGAAGATGGTACAACCCCATGTGCCCAACTCTTTCCATCACCCTCTCTTTGTGTGTACTGAATATAGGTCATCTCATATAACAGTAGCCTCAACTTATAGAGTGCAAACAGGCATGTAAGTGCAAGCATGCGCGCACATACACACACACCCACCCACCCAATGGCTGGCCACAGACAACCAGAGAAAAAAAAAAACACAACAAGAAAGATGTATGGGCTTTCATGTTGTGCATATGTGTGTGTCTATTCTCAAGTGTGTGCCTTTATAAATATGGGATACTGCCTCCACGGCCCCCACGAGGAAAACCGCTTAATAAACAGGCTACATCTAAAAATGCAGAAAAGTTTGTGTGGGGATTAAGAGTAGACGGAAGAAAACATCATTATCAGTTATTTAACAGAATATAAACCGTAGAAGTTAATGAAAAGTCCCCATCATGACAGTGTTTACTTAACTATACAAATCTATTCCCAGATGTTAGTTAGGCTAAACATGACTAAGCCTCCTTTCGATCTGGATTTGAATGCTTTCATTTGGAATCACGAATTTGGAAAATCACGCTCGGACTGAGTAAAAGGCAACCGTGCCTAGTGCGAGTACGCCCTACATCTAACTTTTTTTTCTCCATTTTGTGGGTCTGTGGACCAAGTTCTAAAATACCTGCTTTAAGGGATAGGGTTATTTATAATTACCATAAATTCAAAACAATAGAAGGTTATGGCATGTCCTCATTTAGACAGCCAAGCACATGTTTATGCATGCATCAATGTCAGTATTTCTTACAACCCTTACCAATGTGCCCCGACCGCAATGTATACATGTCTACACACAAAAGCCTGCTGTGGCTTTCTGAAAAATATATATGCTTTAGGGTAGTGACACGTTAAAGCAAGGCAGCATCTGGAGAGCAGAGCAGGACACACACAATGTGAACACACACACACTCATGTACACAACTAGATATGTGGCCAAAAGCCTTGCTCACAGCTATAAAACGGTTAGAGAATCGGGAAAGGCCCTGGCTTGCACAGCTCGTGGAGGATATTCAACCTTAAGTGCACAGAATCGCTGCAGCTACAGGAGGAGTCGCCAGTAACCTCTGTGACCTTACAGAACCCTGTGACCTGAATATTAAATAAAAATTAAAACCAAAATAAAAGAAGGGAACTTATCTGTACCGTAAGACCCTTTAATAACCCACCTGGATGATTAGGAGAGTTCAGATTGGAGGACTGCTGGAAGCTTGAACCAATGAGATTGGACGGTCTGTGAGAGGGGGTCCGGTCAACATTGTCCTGAAGAGAAAGAAAAGGAGGAGGTCAGACAGTTCAACGGCCATACGCGTGTATGAGTTACGTGGTTTTCACAAGATTCTATTCTCACCTAAACTTACATCCTACATGTTTTGGGGTCAGAGGTCACCCTTCTGCCAGAACTCGACTCTCTCGTGAACGTGTGTATGGCCATAGCCGTGAACCAGTGATTATAGTGTATAAAGTTTTAAATATGGATTTTTAAATTAAATTATGTAAATGATGGGATAATTTCCATTTCCTTGTGTCGTGTCTTGTGTCATTAGTGTTAACTAAAGTCCAACAGTGAGTGAGTGGGTGGGTGGGTGGAAGGAAGGAAGGAAGGAAGGAAGGAAGGAAGGAAGGAAGGAAGGAAGGAAGGGTGGAAGGAAGGGTGGAAGGGTGGAAGGAAGGGTGGGTGGAAGGAAGGAAGAAAGGGTGGAAGGAAGGGTGGAAGGAAGGAAGGGTGGGTGGAAGGAAGGGTGGAAGGAAGGAAGGGTGGGTGGAAGGAAGGGTGGGTGGAAGGAAGGAAGGAAGGGTGGGTGCAAGGAAGGAAGGAAGGAAGGGTGGGTGGAAGGAAGAAAGGAAGGCTGGGTGGAAGGAAGGAAGGATGAAAGGAAGGAAGGGTGGGTGGAAGGAAGGAAGGAAGGGTGGGTGGAAGAAAGGAAGGAAGGAAGGGTGGGTGGAAGGAAGGAAGGAAGGAAGGGTGGGTGGAAGGAAGGAAGGAAGGAAGGGTGGGTGGAAGGAAGGAAGGGTGGGTGAAAGGAACGAAGAAAGGGTGGAAGGAAGGTAGGGTGGGTGGAAGGAAGGAAGGGTGGGTGGAAGGAAGGAAGGAAGGAAGGAAGGAAGGAAGGAAGGAAATATCTGGAGGAGGGAGGGAGGGAGGGAGGGAGGGAGGGAGGAAGGAAGGAAGGAAGGAAGGAAGGAAGGAAGGAAGGAAGGAAGGAAGGAAGGAAGGAAGGAAGGAAGGAAGGAAGGAAGGAAGGAAGGAAGGAAGGAAGGATCTGGATGGATATGGGAGGGAAGGAAGGAAATATCTGGATGGATATGGGAGGGAAGGAAGGAAGGAGGGAAGGATGGCAGGAAGGAAGGCAGGCAGCGGAAGGAAGGAAGGAAAGAAGGTAGGATGTATATATCTGGAAGGAAGGAAGGAAGGAAGGAAGGAAGGGTGGGTGGAAGGAAGGAAGGAAGGAAGGAAGGAAGGCAGGATGTATATATCAGGAAGGAAGGATGGATGGATGGATGGATGGTCTATTGGCATGATCTATTCCTTTAATATTCTGGTTTACATCTAAACAAACTGATACCAATGGACAAATACAGTATATCTTATTCTGCATGTGGAGCCAAAACAGAATTAATGTATTTGCGAGTAGTAATTGCATGCACATATTTGTGTGTGTGTGTGTGTGTGTGTGTATAGTCCCAATCAGCATTCCCACTGCATCAACATAAAACTAAGAAGAAAAAAAGGCAAACTATGCACACAGCAATGGCTCTAGCGCTCTCAAACCACACACAATATCACACCATATAATTCAAAGCAGAATGTACAAAGCTAGAAGAAGTAGTCCAAGAAAAAAGAAATAAAGCCACATTTTCAATTTCCAGTTTTCTAGGAAACCTAAGAACATGGAAGCCGAGTTTCCAGGAACTAGCCTCTGCCAGAGGTCCCCATGCTCTCTTCTCTTCCTGCCTTCTTTCTATTTTTCTCTTCTGCTCTCTCTTCACGCTGCACCAAGCCAGCCGGCTCTCAGAAAGGAGAAAAACATCTATAAAAACAGGAAGGGATATTTACAGCTCTGAGAAAGCTTCTCTAATGCTTTAGCCAGCATACTGTTAATCTTGCACAGTGTTAAAAGACCCAAAAAAAAGTCAATAAATGCTGCTCGCCGACACCAACAGAAAGTGTTCAGTTTATATGCTCTCATTTAAGTGGGGTTTAATCTTGGCCAAATTACTTCAAATTCAAACTTTAAAGGCTATTTACATACTTTTTCCTCTCCTCAAGAAAGCACAAAAGTGAAACGCACCAGGATCTATTTAACAGTGGATGACTGAGGAATGCGAGAGGGTGTCTGTGTGTGTATGTGTATGTGTGTGTTGTACTTGGACAGGGTCCAGGCCTTGTGTCCGTTATGTAAACCTTAACCCCCCAGCTGATTCCATAGGGAAACAAAGGCAGTGAATTTCCTAGAAAGGCAGGTCATGTGACCCTTGCAGAACCTAGGCTATTAACAAAGAGTGGTTAGAAAGCCAAAGCATTTAGGAGTTGACCTCTGATCTCGACAGCTACAACTTGTCCATTCAAGGCGCTGCTGTGATATACAAACACATTGACAAACATAAGCAACTACTCAACTTTCCCGTTCGGCTCTTGGTGAGCAGACACCCTGCTATAAACCTGAAACACAACCCCAAGTATCCATTTGACCTCTGACCCTAATCTTCATCCTCATTAAATACAAGCAACTTAAGACTTGCAACTCTCCACATAACTTCCCTAACATTAACCTATAAGAAGAGGAATAACAGATGACTGAACACAATTTGCAGCAAAAATACTCCAGATTAAACGTTCAAACTAGGAGATACACTTCAGATAAAAATAAATATTGAGAAAGACAGGAAAGAAAATATAAAGTCATAGCGATAGAGTGAGTGAGTGTACATAAAAGCTAAAGCAGAATGTTTTAATGCTTTAATCTAAAAGACAAAAAAAGAGCACATTGGAAGCCAGGGTGCCTTGGTTGTGTTTGCTTAAAGTGAATATTTTGGCTTTGTTGTCCCCTTGCTTGGGAAGATTCGGGCCAGGTGCCTGTGGCTCTGAGAAACCCCCTGCAGAGAGGGCTGCACCCCTGCCTTCACTGTATACACTGATGCTCTGCCAGGTTCACAAGCACCAGCCACTTTATAGCAGACCCGGGTGGGGGCGGGGGCGGGGGCAGAGGCAGGGAAAAGGGGGGGAAGGTCTGAGAAAGGAATAGTTTATAAGGTCAAACGAAAGGAATGATATTAGAAAGAGAGAGAAGATAAGGAGAGTCAAATATAGAGAGAGGCCTGACTGTGCACCCCTGGTATAAATAGCAACAGCCGCCACTTTGCATGTCAGCATGTCAGCTGTGTGGCACCATGGTAACACCATGGCGACGAAAGGCATGCGGACATGCCACAGAACCCTTGGGAACCGCTGCGCTCAATAGATGAGGTCCCTTTATGCTGGTTCAGGAGGATTTGAGCATGTGTGTGTGAGCATTCAGGTTTTACATGCATATTCTGCTTGAGATATTACAGCTCGGTCAAGAAACACTGACATAGTGCCCTGCTGAATTTGAAAGCTCTGTAGACTCCAGAGCACTACAACTACACTAGAGTATACCTGGTAGTTTGGATGGTGGAGGAAGTAGTCTGGGCATCCAGCTAAGGCCATGATCAGAATCGCCGCAATTGATGGGATGTGAGCCGTCACATGCACCTCCAAAACCCCTGCGCAACAGCCTAAGAGAAAGACAGAGAGAGAATTGGGATCAGCACAAAAAACAAAAACAGTGGTTGTCACATTTGTGTTCAAAAATGGTGTTGTGGTCATGCACCAATGAGTTTATTTTTATTTATTTTTTCCTTTTTTTTGTTCTTTGAAGGATATCCCAGATTTCCTGACTTCAAGACAAGCTTCATTCATTCAAGTCAAGGAAAATTTCATTTACTCGAAAAGTGAAAACTGAATCAGTGAGCAACTGAACAACTCAGTTGTGAACAACTCAGTTGTGAACAATTAATGAAAAACTCAGTTGAGTGAATGATTCGAGCTCAATCATAAGACACAAAAGGTTTACTTGTCACTAGTACTACCTACTGGTGTAACAATGCAACCTGCAGAGAGAGTCACTAATGAACAATTCAGAGAACTAAGCTGAACAAATTTTTTTGATGAATATTTCTAATTATAATATTTTCCCAGGAGAAACTTTATTAAAAATGCACGTTAGTGTACTTTCTCAATAAGAATGTTGCCTAACATAATTTGAAGCGGGATATTCCAATTAAATATGCTTTATAGTCTTACAAAAATTGCATCAATTAATATACATGGGTAAGATTATACAAACTTCATTAATTCTTAGTATTTTGTATGTCGTCTTTAATGTTAATAACAGAAAATCTCAAGCAACAATGAACTCCACAAGAGTAAAACCAGATGATCGTGTTATCCAGCATTATCCAAAGGTATTTCTGTGCTCGAATGGAAGCAATAAAACTGTACAAAATTTTTGCAGCATAGTTTGAAATCAAGGGTTTAAAGTTTGTCAATCATGCATCTCAGTGACAGCAATACGCATTCAATAATTTGTTATATTTATATAGTGCTTTTTTTGGATACTCAAAGCACTTTGCAAAAAGAAGGGGGGAATTGGTCTCAGATACAACAAAGTTAGTTTATGCATTCATGACTAGACTGGATAGCTGTAATGCATAACTAGCTGGTTCTCCTGCATCCTCAATAAGAAAGCTACTGCTGGAGTTCTTACCAGGTCAAGAAAATACAACCATAACACATATTTTATCATCACTACACTGTTTACCTATTACGTTCCATATCGATTACAAAGTATTAGACCTTCTACAACCATACAATCCATCATGCTCTTTAAGGTCACAAAACTCTGGGTTTATATCAAAGTCCACTAAAGAGTCCACTAAAGTCTGGAATACCCTTCCTAATAATGTAATTAGATTAAAGACGTATCTTTTTAGTCGAGCATTTAATTCATCTCATAAGCTTGTACTCCAGTTAGATCAGAACAAATGCACATTATTATCTTTGCTTAATGTTAATGTTAACAGCAGCTACACTGAATCCTTTCAAATTGCCCATCCCAATATAACTTGAGTATGTCTGTTCTGATTTGGATCCAGACTTCAGATGACCCCACACCAGTGAAGATATGTTTCCAAGGACTTCAGATGACAAAAGCTCTGAATCAACATGTACCAATGCAAGATTTCATCATTTCAATAATTATAATCATTATGTAGACAACTCATAGTAATTAATTACTGCCTTAAATTACATTGTTACATTGTTAGCTAACTGCGTGATTTGTAGCATTGATGAAATTCATTACTTATGACACCTCTGATCACAAATCACTCTAAATTGTAGACATTACATTATAAAGTAAACTGCTTTGAATTTGAAATGATAAACATTGTGAAAAGAGCTATACAAATAAATGTGAATTGAATCTCCTCAACCACCTCCAATGTGCAACATCAACCTGGATGATGCGACGGCACCCATATTGTGTCAGAAGGCCCACCACACACACCACCTTATTGGTGGAGGATGAAGCCAATCAGTATAAGGTGATAATTAGGAGGCAATGATGCTGGACAGAAGCCAATGGGCAAATTGGGGTTAAACCCTTACTCTTTTTAAAGGACATCATGGGATTTTTTTTTTATGTCAAGACCTTAGTTTAACGTCTCATAAGGTCTACTAATAACAGAAAAGCAAAGGCTGTAATACTTTTTTGTCTGCGGTTTATTTTTTTGTTTTACAGTCCTATCTAATAAAGTATAGACCCCTTTACAGTTGGTAAACATGGTGACTTTTTTTGTGGGCGGAGCTTAGGTGGAGGCAGAAAGATCCCTCTGGCCGCTTCACTAACGCTAGTTAGCAAGGATTGTTAGCTTGTTTTTCAACAATGACTGGAGAAAATCCGATATTATCTTAATGTGTAAGGTCACTCAGTGTCCAGGACCACGATTGTTATTTCCAAAAGTTATTTTTAATGGACGGAACCAGATTGGCCGACCTGTAGTCGCCTACAAGCTCACTCAATGCATGGATGATCTGACAGGATTAACGTACGTTACCTCGGTTGAGTGGCCTGACTTCTACACCAACCTTATAGAGAAACCGATCGTAAATAGAAACTGAGGGCATATAAATCTTTAGATGCCTATATGGTCCTTTACAAGACTTGTGTGTACGATCCGCAGTTTTGCCGAGCCAGCCCCGAGACCACGACAATGTAAAGAGTGACATTACAGTGCGATTTTAATGATGTGAATATTTTCTAGAAATAAAAGTTCCAGATACAGCATATTCATTTTTCATCAATTCTTGCACCAAACAACACAACAAGATGACATTTAATAATAGCTCTTATTATGTAGCCGAATCTGTGCTGTTTTGTATTGGCCGCGCCTCCAGTTTACACTTTGTTTTGCCTGCAGCTAGCGCCGCGACGTAGCTGTGACGTAACTGGGGTCTATTAGACAACTGTTAAATAGAGGCAGTAAACTATTGAAGACAGAGAATGGAAGCACTGTTTGCTCAGGTGCTAGCGTTCTCAGCGTAGTCAAAATAAAAGTCCCCCTTCCGACACATCGGCCAATCAGAAAAACGTATCGGCCGATGCGGATGATTAAAAATGCTGCACATCGGCCTTGCCGATATAACGGTTGACCACTTTCTATAGATCTAATCATGTGGTGTGTGTGTGTGTGGTAAAAGTTCATCTGCTGCTGCTGCTGATAAGGATAGGGGCAGTTTGTGAGTGACTGTAATACTTTTGCTGTAGCACTTTGACAGCCAGCTTGTTTGACACAGCATACTACATAACAGAATCTACTACTTAAAATAGCACTTCACCATTTCAATCTTATCTGGAGAGAGCTGAGAGATGGGGGGAGATGCTGAGATGGGGGGAGATGCTGTAGTAGAGCTTAAAAAGTGAAGCAGGAAGAAAATGGATTGGAAAAAAATTAGATCTGGAGAAAGAGAAAGAGTGAAATGGTGTTTGGATTTCAATCCCAGAATAGCATATATATCCAGAATAGAATATCCCTACTATAGCATTGAACGGAAGTCCAAACTGAGGACCAGTAAGCCCAAACGTGTGGAGCTGGAGTCAAGGCTCAACTCTGGAGCAGCTGAATAGCATGATCACGGCACCAAAACCTCAAATTAACAGCATTGAAAGACCGCTCAGGCCTGCTACGCATCAATGGCCAAGCTCATTATACTGACAGAGAAGAAAGGCGACACACATTCACACAGAGATGCTGGCTGATGATTGAGACCACATTCACTCTTAGGTTGTCTCTATTAGGCCGGCAAAGTTCATGAAAATCAAGCACATTTTTAAACAATGACTAGGTTTCCCTGAAAACCTAGATTTCCATGAAAATACTACTTGGCTAATCTTGAGGAAGCCCATAAAATTGGGCTTATCAGGCAAATTACGCAGTTCTTGTGTTCAAAAACAGACTATTAACTAAGACTTAGGCTCAATCCCAATTCACCCCTCGGCCCAACCCCTTATTTTCGAGAGTACCCCTTGGCCCCTAAAACAGAGTTACAAGGGCCAAGGGGTTTAAATATTCCCCTATGAAATGGAACAACCCTTCATGAACCCGATATGTCATCAGTCGTCGGCGATGGCTCTGCCGTTACGGAGTTCTTACAGGATTTCTCCATGATAACGACTGACAATCAGCGCAGCTGCTCTTTACTTTGAGGAAATATGACGATTATAACTTTCCTTTCTCAAAATGTATGTCTTTTCTGATTCGGAAAGATAATTTATTATACAATTTCTTAATTTAAATGACTATAGTGTCATTTTAAGGGTAAATAAAGTGCATGGTGGTGTCATCTGGCGCTACATTTAAATGTTTAACCGTTTGCGAAGCCATCTCGCCGCTGATTTGCGATACATTCAGTGAACTTTCTCGTAGCCCTCCATTTGGAGTGTGACTCTTAAAAACAATCAGTTTTGAGGGCTATGTAGCACTACCTCTCCGTCCTACCCCTCGATCACAAGGGGTAAGAGCAATGGAATTGGGATTGAGCCTTAGACTATAACACTTATGATTTGAATGTGTTTGGCTGTAGCATCATAGGGGATGAATTTGAAGACACAAAAGTTTTCCAATGCACACTGTCAACCATTCCTACTTGAAAAGACCCCTTGCATGTGTTTAAAGAACATGGTTTTGTCTAAAAACTTCTGGACACTAAACCTCACTTTATAATCTGAAAACCACAACAACAATGAAGTAATTTTTAACAGCAAATACTGATGAAACTTGTGAAATCCCCATGGTTGAGGTTTTAAAGCTTGTGTGAAATCCAGATGCATGACAAATCGACTTTTCATAACTGCCTCTTTGCTTTTTAAGTTCACAAAGGTTCATTCTCTGCATCGTCTGGTGATTGGGAGAATGAAGAGACAGGGGCCTAAACTTGATGTTGAAATCCACTGCAAAAAAAAAAGACTTTCCAAGTTCAAATGGCTCCAGTGTTATCTTCACCTCCCATAGTTCTGAGTGCTGATTGACAGAGGCTCTATTGTTTCAGTTACGTAACCCAACCTGTTATTGTCAAGATATCAGACACTATAAAAAAGCTGCCACATACCGATATGGTCCACCAGTGTTTTGGGTAGAGCTCTGCACAAGAACCAACAAGAAGCGATAGAGCAAAG